TTAAAAAAAAAAATCACTGGAGGATCAGCACCCATGGCTCAGTGAGTAGGGCGCTGGCCACATACAATGAAGCTGGAGGGTTTGAGCCTGGCCTGGGCCTGCTAAACAATGACAACTGCAACAAAAAATAGCTGGGTGTTGTGGCGGGCACATGTAGTCCCAGCTACTGGGGAGGTTGAGGCAAGAGAATCACTTAAGCCCAAGACTTTGAGGTTGCTGTGAGCTGTGATGACACAGCACTCTACTGAGCGTGACATAGTAAGAGTTTATCTCAAAAACAAACAAACAAACAAAAAACCCACAAAGCTACCTGTAGAAAGTCCTACCTAGGTGCACGCTCTCTGCCCATGTGGCTTCCCAGTTGGCGGCTGGTCTAATGCACCCAGGGAGGAAATAAATGTGGCTGGGAAGCATCTAGAACAGGCTGAGAGTGTCAACTTCAGATGGCCGGTGACTCTAGGCTGTAAGGACGGTTGGCTTCCTTTTGGGAGGTTCCTGCTGGGGAGAAGGCCTTCCCTGCCTCACCTGGACTTTCTCCGTCTCAGGTGACCTGTTGGACGTATAACACTGCGTTCTCCTCTGATCTCATAGATGTGCTAGAAAATAACGAGGGAGCCAAGACAAAGAAGTGGTGGGCACTTTGCCCAAAGTCACATAGTCGTGAGTCATAATTTGAGGTTGCTGAGTTTGAGGGAAGCCCGTGGACATTTTTGACATTCATATTGTGGAAGGCAGTCTTCTAAGATCATGCCGAGATGAAGCCGGGCCCCTCTAGCTCAGAAATAAAGGACAAATCTTGAGTCCCTCCAAGGGAAGTTCCAGGTTCCTAGCTAGCTTTGAGAAAGGTGTAATGGATAAGCACGGAGGTAGTAACAATGTATGAACAACAGTCTCCCAAGAAAGTACAAGTCACAAGGTGTTTGGCTCCCTATGGCAACTGAAGTTGCTGGCCCTGAGAACAGAGGTCAGACTTGCCTTCCTTAAGGCTATGCAAGGCAAGGCTTAAACCACACCTGGCAGGCCCTTGATTTACTTAACAGGTGACTTGAGTCTAGTATCCATCCTGTGGCTTGTCTCTGATTAACATGCTTTTTTTTTTTTTTTTATCTTAAAACATTCCAAGCCTTTAGACAGTGTTTTTCAACCTTTCTTATCTCAGGGCACACTTGAACCTATAGTTAATCTTCTGTAGTATACTTAAATTGTATCGATCAAAAGAAAAGAGTAACAGGAGAATATACTTACTGTGCTTTGAATGTCTTTCAAAAATAATTTAATTAATGACCTTTAAAAAATTTCACAGTGCACCTCAGGTCTTCTCACAGCACACAGCTTTAGACAAAGCTTCATTTCTGTAACTAATTACAAATCAAAGGGTGAGACTACTTGCTTGAAGATTCTTGGGTGGGGTATGGTCGCACATACTTGGCTCAGAATTAAATTATTTTATGGAGTTTGGGTTCTTTCCTGTCGACATTCTCCCAGGCCAGCCCTTGGCAATGTGCCCCTAAGCCCAGGCCCAGGATATCCACAAACAGGGAGGACGGGGCTACCCAGAAGAGCTCCCCAGCCTTTTCTCTCCCTACCCACACTCTTAAGAACTTGATGATGACAGCTGGTTATGGACACAGCCCAGATGCCATCTGTCTGCACAGATGTCAGGGACATTCCAGCTGCACCAGATGATAGGGTAGAAAGTTCAGTAGGTGCTGAGCGTGGGACAAGAGAAGAATTTCTCTAGACTAAGATTAGGATATGAAAGTATGGACTTTATCTTATCTTTTAGAAGGAGAGAGGGCCTTCGAGAAGGGAAGGGAGTGGGGAAAGAGAGAAAAAGAGAGCAAGGAGCTGGATGGTCATCCCAAAGAAAAAAAGAATGCAGTCTGCTGAGGTCAGGTGGTTAGCAGAATTTAAAGGGGACAAAAATGGTAAGTGCACAACCGTGTGAATGTGGCTGCATTATTGCGAGGCCCAAGAAATCCACATTTTACATAAAATATGGGAGAGAAGGAAGCATCAATTACGTAGATGTCCCCGGGTAAGGTGGAACAATGTCTGATTCTGTCTTATCTCCTGTTCTGTCATTATTGCTGTGGAACTGGATGGGCATTAGTGTTAGGTGCTAGACACAGGTACAAATCATGTGGAGGTGAGGGAAATTTGCCCTTTCCTCCGAAAGTTCACTGAAAGATGAACTCACAATTAAGGCAGATTGATAAGAGAATCTTGCTTATTGGAGGTGAACAAAAAATTACTTAATGAGTGATCTGTGGTGCCAGCTCTTCACAGGTGCCTGAGGCTGGGAGAGCAGCCTCTCAATTCCATTCTGCCACGGTCACAATTCTAATAGCCTTTATGGTGAAACACAAGGAAACCAACCTAGAAAATTTTAACTTTATCTGATAGGAAGTAACATCAAAGTAGTCTCCATGCTAACAATGAAAAATGGTTAAACAACAGAAGGTGATTTTCATTTTTTTAAATGTGTTTCATATTTCTCTTCAATAGTTGATTGACCCAACATCTTTCTGTCTGCTCCATACGATGAAAATACAAACTAAATGAGAATAGAAAAAATAATTAAAGCATTGAATTGTACAAATTACAAATCCATTCCGAAATATACATTAAATAAAACACGCATTTCATTAAGAGATCTACAGTGGATGACTATGCATTCTGGAAAGCTTCATGACACCCAGGCAGGGCCAACATTCATGGAGGGAGCTAAAAGAATTTGCATCCAATCACAGTTTGTAGTGGGTTTCTTTTTTTTTTTTTTTGGCCGGGGCTAGGGTTTGAACCCACCACCTCTGGCATATGGAGCAGCACCCTACCCTTTTGAGCCACAGGCACTGCCCAGTAGCAGGTTTCTTATTGCCAATCTTCAAGTTACACTTAACACATCATTAGCGTCACTCGTGCAGGAAACCAATTTTGTTTGGGGAAAGGGTAAGCAAGCTGTAGCCTCAATTTTGAGTTCATTACAACTTCTCAAGAACTTCACCAATAACCTATACAGTACAATTTCAAAAAAGTAAACATGTTAAGGTAAGCAGACAACTTTTCAGAAACCCAGACGTGTTCTTACGGTGTTTACACTGAACTCTCCATCTACAATGGGCAGTCAAGAAGAATGTTCTCCTTCGGACAACATGGTCACAGGGCTGGGATGATCCAGAAGGACTGAGGGAGCGTGAGGTTGGGGAGTGGAGGGACCACCTCTTGCTGCTTCACGTTGGAGACAAGCTGTGTCCAGTCGTGGGCCTGCATGCGTCCCCTTCATCATCTGGTATAGCTCTTGATGTAGTTGTCCACTTTGTTCCAGAAGTCCTCCTTGTCTCCCAGGTGATGCTCTGCAGCCTCAATTCAGTGGGTCATCAAAATTCAAAAGATCAGTAAACAAAGAGTTTAATCCCCAAACAACATCCTGCAGTATTTGTGTGGGAGTCCAGCTAGTGTTGTCGATGGAGTGTTCTCTCAGTAAACTTAGGCAACTTTCACCTGTCTCTGTGATGTTGGGGTGCCAGATCCTGGTCAAGCATTTCACCTTGGGAGGCACCATGTTGTACGCATTGGGGACTTCAGTTTCAAACTGCAACTTTCCACCCTGGTAGTAACCCTTATCTGGGGTTACAGTTAGTTGAAAGCAACAAAGCTTGTTTGGATCAGGAAAATGCACTTTACATGTACAAGGTCAATTAGCTTCAAGTTCTGCAACCTCTTTACTAAGCAACTTGTCTCTCACAGTAACCCTCCGAGTGGAATTGGGTGCTGTGTCTGATGTCTAGGACTCTTTGAGACTATCATCGTGCTTCAGTTTTCTTGCCAGCGTTAGCATTACTGCTGCCTTTACCCTGGGAACTGGCAGACAGGTGAGGTGGGCCTGGCGCCCAACACGAGGCCCGGCCCGGCAGCGGGAGTGATTTTCATTTTAACAAAATATCTAAGGGAATCATCAGAGAAAACATCATATCATCAAAGTAACCTTTCCTCTACTAATATCACAACACATGTTGCCTATGTGTGATTACCTCCTCAGAGTCTCCTGAACATCTTCACAGAGTGAAACTGTAACTGGATAAGGGGGTGGGGGTGCTGTGTTGGAGGAGGGAAAGAATGTGAGCTAAGAGGACTGGCTCAGCTGTACTGCTTCAGCTTAGCTTCTCAGACTCTACCTTGCAGGCTGATTTTCTGGCTTCATTAGGAGCTAAGAATGACACTGGCCCACATCTGGCAAGAACACAGACCTCAGTCCTAGACTCATGGGAACAAATTCTGCCAACATCGTGGCTGATCCTGGAAGTGGATTTTCCACAGCATCTACAGATAAGAGCTCAGAGACGCTGTGACTTTGGCCTTGTAGGGTCCTGAGACAAGAACTAGTCCAGGGTCTGGTCTTCTGGCCTCCAGGGCTGTGAGATGATAAATGGGAGTACAGGGAGTTGTTTTATGCTATGTTTGTGGCAATTCATCACTGCAGCAATAGAAAACAAATACCGGCTGTTTATATACTGATTTTATATATGTTGTAAATATCTTTTCAAGTGTGTCATTTGTGTTTTTAAACTTTGCCCTTAATCCCATTTAATTTTCCTTGTTTCATTACCAGAGGGTAAACTCAAGTTCTATTTTGGGGATGTCCTTTGCAGTCACCCCCACGTACCCAATACTCACATGCCTCAGAATCATCCTGAATGCTTGTTTAAGACACAGATTTCTGGGGCCTGGGCCCAAGTCTTTGGACTGGATCGGCCAGAGAAAGCACTTTTGGAGAGACTTGAACTCGCCACTGCCCAGCGCTCAGAGTCGGTAAGCCACAGGGAGGAAGCTGAGCCCCACCCTCCATGGGCGGGACTCTTTAAGCCCCGCCCCGAAGGCCTCCGTTCCCATTGGGTGGTAATAAAGAGCCTCCCTTGCGTCACAGTGCCGTCGGCTCCTCCTTCGGACCCGTGGGCCGGTCTCTACGCCTGCGTAGTGGAGTTGGACGCTCGCGGGCTTGGGCTATGAGAGCTGCGGTACCAGCCGCCGGCTACGGGATGAAGCAGCCACGGACGGAGTCGGAGCCCCTTTTGGGCCAGACCCGCGGCGGCGGCGGCGGAGGGAGCAGGAGCGGCGGCGGCGGCGGGGGAGGGGGCGGGGGCGGGGGCGGCGGCGGGAGCGGCGGCGGCGACGGCAGCGGCGACTGCCAGGACGGGCAGACTCCTTGTCGCGGCGTCCAAGTCAGCCGTGGTGAGGCAGGGGAAGTCAGCGATTTGGAGCATCCTGGAGGCCGGGCTCGCGCGTGGCCGTCTTGCGGTCCCCGCACTGCACGTCGCCGCGGGCCGCACCCCCACCGGGCGAGTCCGACGGGGGCCCGGCCGTGCCGGACACCAGGGGACCCGCTTTTCAAAGGGCGATGGGCTGCGTCCTGCGGACCCCGGCCCGGCGTGGGTGCAGAGTTAGGGTCCCAGCCGGATCACGTCCAGCCTGACGAGGCTGGCGGAGAGGGCCTCGCCCAGTCCTCAGGCAGAGTTGGGGCAGCCCGAGGGGAAGCTGGACCCTGCAACCCCCTTCGGTCCCTTCGTGTGCCGGGACGGGCCCAGACCCTCAGAGGCAGTACTTTGATTTTTCTCGTTTCCTGCGGAGTTTCTTGGGAGGTTTCTTGTGGGGCTGGGAGAGAGGCGTTACTCCAGCCAAGGTCACACAGCCAGTGGCGGAGGTGGGATTCGACCCACGTGGTAGCCGCTTGCCAGCACTTTCTGCAGTGCCATTCCTGGTCCTTCCCGTGGGGCTGGGCCGGCCTCTGGTGGAGAGGGCTTCCTCCTCTGCTTGCCTTGCGCTGGCCCCAGCGTCCTCTCCCCACCTCCCTCCTGCCCTTCCTGTTTACCTCCTGTCTGAAGATTGCTGAATCCCGGGAAGGGTGCGGTCCACCCATCCCTGGCGGATACCTGGGAGATTAGGTGCTGGGTTAGAGGCAGAAGAGGCTCATTGCATTTTATAGGAAACTGAGGCCCAGAGGGGTTCTGAGATTTGCGGAAGGTCACAGCACTCTGTTCTGGTGCAGTTACTGCTAGTACCACTTTGGGCGCTGGTGCCTGAGCCACTTCCCTCTCTGGACTCTCTTTCCTCCTGCGTCAGGGAGGGGACTGGGTTGGAATCATGGTCCCCAACCCCTGGTCTGGATCATGTGCCCATCCATGGAATAATGTGGGATTGGGAGGCTCTGGGAGATCCCTGACAGGGTGAGAAAATTTAGAGGCTGCCCCCAGGAAGTTCTGCAGTTGTCTTGTGGGGACCACTCAGGAATGGGGTTTGCAGGAACCAGGTCTTGCAGGTTCCTTAACAAGACACGTAGGATATGGTGGTGTTCAGGGGCCACACACTTTGTGTCTGGAGGTCTGGGTGCCTTTCTGGGGCAGCCCCTTCCTGGCTGTGTGACTCTGGCAGTTTACTTAACCTTTCTGAGTCTCAGTAAAAGGGGGGTAGTAGTAGGGGCTGCCCACAGGGGCATTGTGAGGATTCAGAGAGAATCCAGAAGTTGCCCTTAGCACAGGGCCAAGTGCGCCAGTGTGGAGCTCTGATGGCTGTCCTGTGTAGGAGCACTACCAGTTATTTCAGGTCCTGGGCCTGTTAGAGAGGACATCTGGCAGATGAGACCTGCTCTGTGTAGATAGGAGCCAGGGCTGGGCAGTGTGGCTGGCAAGAGGGGGCTCTTGGGCAGGGCTCTTTGTCCCCTGGTGGCCTCAGTCAGGGCTTCTGAGAATGTGGACAGGACACTCTGTGTTCTGCATCTTCTTGGCTGGGCCGTCTGTGAGGCCTGCAGACCAGGGGGGCAGTGGAGACTGAAAAAGGCTCATTCAGTTTCTGCACCAGCACCCATGTGGGGCTCTGAGACAGGGGACCCTATGCTCTGGGTTCTCAAGTCCTGCAGTGGGACTTCTGCCATCAGTGGGGGGAGCTGCTGCTGCAGGACACTCTGAGGACCCCAGTGGACCCTGCAGTAGGGTCCTTGTGACTCAGTGCCACATGATGGGGCCATGGCCAAAAGGTTGAGGGCATTGGCTTTTTTTTTTTAAGAGACAGTGTCTTACTTTGTCAACCTTGGTAGAGTGCTGTGGCGTCACAGATCACAGCAACCTTCAGCTCTTGGGCTTAGGCGATTCTCTTGCATCAGCATCCCGAGTAGCTGGGACAATAGGCACCTGCCACAATGCCTGGCTATTTTTTGTTGTAGTTTGGCCGGGGCCAGGTTTGAACTCAACCACCCTTGGTATATGGGGCTCTACTTACTGAACTACAGGTGCCGCCTGAGGGCATTTGCTTTATCTGTTTTTGGGTGAGAAAATCCCCCTTTACTGGTTATGAGGACAAGGGATTGCTAGAATAATAGGGAATGTTCATGATGAGCTTACTGTGCTTCAGTAGCCCGTTCAGTCTGTAGTAGCTTCTACTGGGTAGGGTCTGTGAGGAACCAGGGTGCAGAGAGGTTAAAGGGCTTGCCCAGGGCTCTACGCTTGTCGTGCAGATGGAACCTGGAGCAAGAGGAGAGTGGGAGTTTAGACCTAGATGTTGGGGAGCAGCAGCTTGGGTTGGGGCAGGGAGTCCAGTCTGGGGCTGGTGTGTGGGACATAGCCTTTGAGCTCCTGTTCTCTGCTCTGTGGTGACATTCTGACCTGCTGTGCTCGGCAGAACCCCTAGCCCCAGTGGGGTAATGGGGTATGGACAGGTAATTGCCACCCAGAGTGATGCGCTCAGGGGACGGCGAGGTGCCCCAGGGAGTATGAGGATGATGCTCCAGGAAGAGGCAACAGCGTAGGGAGGGACTTGGGGGCTTTGGAGAGCATGGCCTTGGCAGAGCCAACTTTGAGCGAATAGCAAGGAGAGTGTGAGGTGAGGGAGGCAGCAAGAGAGGAGGTAGGCAGGTGGATCTGGGGCTCTGTAGTGTCAGGCTGGGGTGGAGTGTGTGAGCCTGCATCGTGGGTACCAGTGGAAAGCTATGATGTGCTCCCGTTTGTGGCAACGTCCGCAGGCTACTGCAGGGTGGGAGGCCAGTTGAGATTGGGTAGCCAGATATAGAATTTTACAGAGCAGCAACCAAAAAGCCAAGTGGAAGGGAACCATGAGTGCTGGACATTTTCAGGGGTACCTGCCACCTTTGGTCTGTGATGGCTTGCCTGGTAATGGGAGCCCCTTCCATAGTCTGAGACTGGAGTGAGCCCCGGGCCCTCAGCAGCCTCACTCTTCTTGTTTGAGATTCTGTCTCTCCCCAAGGAATTTGGTAACTTGGGGGCTGTCAGATCACCTGTCCCCCAGGACTGTCCATTTGCTTATTGGATAAAATCAGCTTTAGTACCACTGTGTGTCTGAGCACTGCACTGTCGTGGGGACACAGTAGGGAGCAAACTGTGTTTTCTGTTCACAGCTTTCCTAGGACATGTCCCTGGGAAAGGAGCCATGTCCCAGGGCATCCCAGCAGTCAGCAACCACCTTTAGAGCTCCCCTGGGAAAATGTTTAGGAGTCCTCTGGGTGAGCCTCCTGGTTGTGCACATGGGGGAAACTGAGGCCCAGGCAGGGGGAAGGTGCTTGCTTTAGGTGACAAAGCAAGGCTGTGACAGAGCCAGGACAGGGTCCAGCCTCCTGCCTCTCTCCAAGGTTACCCATATCTCCAATCAGTCCTTGGGTCCAGCTGCTTCTACCTCATGTCTCCAAGTATGAGCCCAGGGACGGCCAGCAGTGTGGGTTGTCACCTCACCTTTAGGCCCTCACTTGCAGCGAGCTGCCTGAGCCACGGAAAGTAGGATGTCAGCCTCCTGGCTGCTCTGCTGCTGCAGGCCTCAGCTCCCCAAGTTTTCCTTGCTCTTTGTTGCATGGCAGCTTCCTTTGGGGATACAGGCCTACGGCGTGGCTGGCAACCCAGGCCC